ACGCTTGAACCTTCTGGTATTGACATTGGCTCTTTGATTAGTGTAGGAAATGGGAAAAATTTGATAATTTTATGGTGTTCAGTTACTGCAAATTTTACTTTTGTTTGACAACCTGATCATGAATGAATCTGGTAGTTTCTTTTCTATTATTGTTTTATATTTTCTTAAGTGTTTTTTTTTTATGGCAAATCTTTTTCAGCTTTGTTGAGGGGGGTATGAATCTCTTCACTAAACATTTGTATTATTAAAAATTTATTTTTATAAAAATAATAAGAAAGTTGTTCCAAATGAAGCCTAAGCCCTTTAGACCATTGGCTTTAAGAGGGAATTTCTCCTCTGAATGAGGGGAGGGTCTAAGGAGAAGTTTGGAATTTAGTATATCTATTGAAAAAAAAAAAAAAATTTGCGGAAGGATGTGTTGATGTGATTTAGGTGTATTTGAGATGGTTTTTTTATTGTTTTTTAAATCAACTTTTCAGTATAGAAATTAAAAATTTTATATTAAAAATCTATTTTAAAAAGCAATAAGAAAACCGTCTCAAATAAATCCTTAATATTCATGTAAATTCAAAGACTTTTAAGATATTATATCATTCCGACGCAATTGTTTTTTCATAGTTCATTCATGTATTGTAGTTGATGTTGTGCATGATTGGTCATTGACTAGCACCATTAGGCTCTATGTAGGATAATTTTCTTACTGTTTTTTAAAATGATTTATTAGTACAAATTTGTTTGAATAAAAAAATTTTGTTAGAAAAAGCTGCTTTTGAAAGCATTAAGGCTTCGTTTGGTTATTCGGTACTTTTGTAAAAGACAGTTTTAAGAAATATTGGTTCAAAAAAAAAAAAAAATTCTAACGGACAAAGTATATATAAAAATTTTTCTTAAAACAATAAGAACATGAACAAAATGGTATTATTGTGAATGTGGTTTGAGGAACCAAATAGTGAAGAAGAAATAACTTTACCCTTTCAAAAAGGGATAAGCATCAAAAACACCCAATCAAACTAGGTCTAAGAAAGCTACACCAAACAAAGTTTTAGGCTTCTTTTGGAACATCATAATGTTTTATAAAATAGAGTTTTAGTATTTTTTTTTTCCAAAAAAAATTAATTCTAAAATTTTGTTTTATAAAACAGTACGAAAATTATCTCAAACGAAATTTTAGTCATCATTTAGGTTTTATTTAAGATAGTTTTTAAGAATAATTTTTGTGCTGATAAATTGCTGTAAAAAATAACAAAAAAATTGTCCTAAATAAAATGTTAATGTCACTTTTTTGCATTGATGGCCATATCAACCGACATAACGTCGGTAAATTTATTGTAAGAATTTTTTTTACCAAGAAGATGCACAATGATGCTAGCAATAGTTATGAAATTATTTTAAAAATAATCAAAATAAATATCTATATTACGATATAATTGAACTTTGATGCAACTCACATTGATCTCTTAGTTCTCAATCAAGAGACTTTAGATTCGAATTTTATGTATGTAATGTATTTATAAATTTATTTTAATTGTCCTAAATATTCCTAAGTTATAATGAGCGTTATTTTGAAACAATTATTACATCCGGTGTCCGAATGCGTTCAGAGACCAATAACCACACGCCACGTCACCTACAACTCGGTATTGCTCGGTATACATTCAGACCGTTCGGTTTTTGACCGGATGTAATAATTTCTCGTTATTTTGAGACCTCAAATTTTACAATAGCAAGCGCTAATAAAGTTATTTCTCTAGATGATTTATATAGGAGATTAGGAACTAAGAAAATATATAGTTATGTGCTGGGGTCTTCATTTAATTGTCCTAAATATTCCTAAGTTATTTTTCTAATATTTTTAAACCTTTATTTAAGATAAATGTATTCTTTTAATGAAATAAATACAAACAAGATTAATGTATTTGGCTCATTTAAAATTCTTTAAGATATACGGACAATATTGTGAAAATAATATAACTTTTTTTCGATCATTTTATTTATTTGTATCCATTTATTAAAGTCATATAAATAGAAAAATATTAATTACAAAGTAACTTCATTCATTTATATGAGGCAAACTTGCACTAAAAGGGGGGTAAATAGGGGGTGAATTTCTCTCGCAAAAAATATGAGGTTTTTAAAATACTCTTACGAAAGGGGGAAAAAAAAATCTTATTTTAGATATAAATTATATTAAAATAAATTTAAAATTTCTGAAATGCTGAATGTATTTTAAATTAATAATATATATATTTAATTTTAAATAGTTAATCTTAAAATTAAATGCAATAATGTTTGTAAAGCGCAATTTTTTTATCAGACATTTTGTTTTCTTTATAAAAGCACAATGGTTTGCACTCTCGGTAAAAACATTTCACAGAGTTATGTGGCATTTATAATTTTTTGGGATATATAGGCCAATTAAGAATAAATTCCATATAAAATATCACATACATAAGATTCAAATTCTAAAGCCTCTTGATTGGAAAAAAATTATTTTGTGCGGTCACCAGACGGCGTGTAAGACGCAACGTTCGAAATATGCGCCGTCACTTTTTGGCCCGGTACGTAATGCTCGAGCACCGCTGGTGTACCGGGTGACGTTATGCATTCTGATTGATCTTTAGACCATCCGTGTCCGCACAGAATACCTTCTCCTTGATTGATAGCCAAAACTTCCAACCAACAAAATGATCTAAAAAAAATATTGGGCTTCATCCCATATTTTTGCAATAATTACTACATAAAAATTAATTAATGCTTCATTTGACACAACTTTCTTAATACTTTCTAAATCAATTTTTTACTAAAAGTTACTTTAAAAAATAGTAAAAACTTTGTCCCAAATGAAGGCTAAGGTTTTATTTGGGACATGTTTTTAAATATTTTTTAAAATAACTTTTTGATATAAAATTTTTTATTTCAATAATTTATTTGCTAAAAAACAGCTTTAAAAAGTAGACCTAATGCAAAGAAAAAATCTTAAAATGAAAATAAAAATTGCCTATGAAGATTCCAGTTTTTTTACATGCAGGAATAGTTGGTATTAGCATTGAAACAATAGTTTTTTTTTTACTATATCATTTAGCTGCAGCCTATTTAATAGAGAAGGATGAGCTAATAATGTCAGAAACTCCTAAAGATGGCCAAATGATCGACTACTTTTAGAAGAAATGAATGACTCACTGTGCACCACCTTAAGGTTACATATTTCAACAACTCCTAAGTTTGTTTTTAGTTACTACTTACAGATCATTTTCTAATTATTTTGTCAGCCAAATCCCTTTATTTAACAAATTAGACTCCATAATGCTACTCCTATGTCCTTCTCTATAGGAAAAAATTCACCAATGGATCATTCAATACAAAACGATGAAGCTCTTTTTATCTAAAAACTGATAAAAAATTAGAGGAGAACGTACCAATCAGGAGAGCTGAGCCATGCAATCCACAATAGTTCAACAAGGAGATTGCAAGGGATGCCTTATTACGATTTCCAGGGTCCTGAAGTTATGGTGTGAGAATTCTTTGCATGATAAATCGTTTGCATTTTTGTTCAGAGAAGGCTAGAAAGTGTCACCTTTGCCTAGCAATTATCTTTTGTATAATGGCTTGTTTCACTTGCAACTCTTTCCCATACATCCGCAATCTTCTGGAAGTATTCTACCTGTTGAGAGCAATAATTTGTTTTTGATGAGAATCCGCGGTATATAAGAAAGTTGGAATAATTAAGGCTTTGCTTGGGGAGAAATTATTCTGTGCGGACTCCGAACGGTTCGGAGACCAACTAGAACGCACCATGTCACCCGGTATTGAGCAAAAAGTGACGTGGCGCGTTCTGGTTGGTCTCCGGACGCCACAGAAGAATGTTTCTTATTTGGGACAGATTTTGGCCATTATTTTCACTATAAAAAAAGTTTAGTACTAAAAAGCTACTATAAAAAACAATAAAAAAAGTTGTCCCAAACGAAGGCTAAGGATTCTTTTGGGGCGATTTTTTACTACTCTTAAAGCAGCTTTCTAGTAGAAAATATTTTATTTTTGTACTAAAAAATTGTTTTAAGAAGCAGCAAGAAAGTCATCCCAAACGAAGCCTAAATCTCATTCCGAGACAACTTCATAAAGAGAGAGAGAGAGAGAGAGATTATCTCTAATCCATCTAATTCTGAACAATATCCAAAAAAATTGAGATCTGTTTAATAAATAATCATTCTTCATTCATTGATTGTATGTGCTACATAATATATAAACATATATTGTATATATTATGTAAGGATTAATTTGAATTCTACAATTACTTGGGTTTTGTTTGGGTCTAGCTTTTTTTTTGCTTTCTAACATAAAATTTTTTTGATTAGAAATATTTGTACTAAAAAGACGTCTTAGAAAGTTGTAAAAAAAACTGTCCCCAACGAATTCTTAATCATAGATCAAGCATATTCACAATTTTCAGGATTATACGATCTAGATCTAGATAATATGATGTTGTATTTATTATGGAAAAAGATTTATGAGGGCAGATTGGTGGGAGTGATTCCAATTACGGGGCAGTTTTAGGACACCAAGCCGTGGTCTTTACATATGATTCTCACCTTCATCTAGTAGGATATAGTGATACGAATTGAATAGGTTGCCCTGATACTCACCACTCTGTCATAGAATAGTATATATTTCGTGGTGATTCTTTGATCACAAGCAAGAGTATTAAACAATCTCATTTGTCTAAATCAATCTATCAAAATGAATATCATAAAATGACAACAACATGTGCAGAGATTATTTGGCTACATGGACTTCCATATGAGCTTGATTTTTCTCAAGAAAATCCAACTCCTCTACATGCTAATAAATCTAGTGCCATCAAAATTGTCACCAATCCGGTGTATCATGAGAGGACTAAGCATATTAAAGTTGGTTGACACTAAATTCAGGAAGCCTTCGATTCTCATATCATTTCACTTCCTCGTGTCTTTAAAAACCTTCATATCATTAGTTTATTGTAAGCAAATTGATGCTTTTTAACCAACCATCGTCAAGCTGCAGGGAGGTGACAATGCAAGCAATTAATATCAATTAATTGCCATTGATCAATGTGCTCATAGATGTCACCTCATCAATTAATGTGTGCTAATTTATTATAATTAATTATGTAGTATACTTCCTATTAAGTAACTATTCTAAGGGCATCTACAACCAAAAATCTCATTTTTCACTCCAAGATGCCGTGAAACTTAAAAATGCCGTGATTCATCTCCAATAGAACTCCATTTTTGCCCCGTAACGGTCGTTCTCTTCTTTTGCGTGTTTCTTCGGCAAGTTCGGTAGAGGCCCAAAAATGGCGCATATGAACAGTGCAACGCCAATATTGGCGTCGCACTGTTCATCCGCGATGAAATGACGTAAGAATTGCCGCTCGGTTGGAACGACAGAAGAACGAAAAATAGTTGTTTGCCGTTCCATTGGAGATGTTCTAAGGTTGTATAAATATGGGTTAAATGTAGGAAAAAGTTCAAATAATTTGTGCACAACTTTTGTTTGTCAATTACTACTACTCTTCTTGTTTCTTGTTCAGTTGTTTTACTGTTTTGCACCACATAAAAGTTGCAAAAAACAACTAGTTTTGCGCAAGGTTGAAAAAAGTGACCCACTGGTTGTTTCTAGCAAACTACATAAGAAAAACAACAAATTAGCTACCCTTTGTTGAAGGGAAAGTTAGGATGAAGGGGAGTGTACATTTGGAATGCCCATCTGAAGTCAAATGGCCATTAAGAGGTGACTTGGGGTATATTTAAACTGTTAATGCAATAAGAGATCTACTAAGTGGGTTATGCAAAAGATTATAGAAGAAGATTGTTATAGTTTGAGACAATGCAAACGGTAATATGTGCAAAAGTACAATTCCAAGTTCCGATGTTAAGCTATCACGTTGGAAATAAATCTTGGGGAGGAACAAGAACCAAAGTATACTAATGAATTTTAATTTCAAGTTGTAAATGAACTCTGCCTATCTCAATCACCAGTCTCAATCAATCCAATGGGATGGAAATATTCATAGAGCTGATGAGAATATCGGTAGAAAAACCTGGCGCGCCTACCTCTACTGACGGCCAGGTTTAGGAGTGTTTTTATTTATAGTACGCTTTGAATAATCTTTATTTTAATTTTCGAACGCAATTCCTACATTGATTCACATCAGCGCCTACCTCTACTGACGGCCAGGTTTAGGAGTGTTTTTATTTATAGTCTATTTTCTGCATTTTATTTATTATTGTATTTTATATTGAGAGTCTTTCCCAATTTACCCTTATGTTGAGTTATATGAGTGTTATAGACCAAGTGACATTTTAGTCTTTGAGTCCTTCATGTTTTGAGGTCTATATATTGAGGCCTTGGCTATTGTAGTAAGAGGATGATCATTATGAATTAGACTTCAGTTTTCCTGAATTGTGTGATTGAGTCTTCTTGAGAGAAGAGTGAAGTCCCTAGGAGTAGGGCAACACAACACCTATCAACCGACGCCGTGACAAGGTTCTAGGCTTTATCTTCTCTCCCTCCTCACCCCCATTTTCCTCCATTAGCTGCTGAATCTCTACTGCACCATACAGCTGAATCTCTGCTGCCCCATATACCCGACCCCTGCTGCCCCATACAACCGACCCTTGCTCCCCCCATACAGCCAGAATTCTCTGCTGTTCCATTCAGCCGAGCTACCTCCCCCCTCTTCCATTCCCACTCACCTACCCAGCCTTCCTCTCTTCCCAAGGTTGGCCATCCCCCACTCCATTGCCTCTTAAAATCCACTCCAACTTTTCTTCTTCCCCATTGATTCCCCAAGGGTTGCTGCCGCTTCCTATTCCCCTTCCTAATTAACTCCACTTTAATTATTGCCTTTTCCTCCTTCCATTAATTCCTAATAGTTGTTGCTTTTCTATTCCCCCCATTAAATCCCATGGGTTGCTGCCTTTTTCCATTTTCCCCATTAATTTCTAATTGATGTCCCTTCCAGTTTCCCACTAATTCCTAATAGCTGCCACCTCTTCCCCTTCTCCGATAAATCCCTAAAGGCTGCTATCCCTTCCCCTTCACCCAATTAACTCCCTCTAGTTGTTGCCCTTTACCCTTTCTCCCATTAATTCCTCATAGTTCTGCCCCAACTTCCCTCCCCTTTTATTTTTCTAGTGTTGTCGCCCCTTCTCCCCTCCCTCTTCCCTTTAGCCAGCCTCTTCCCCACTTGTATCTTCCTTTAGCCAACAGCCCCTTTCCCAAACAGCCACCCCCTCTTCTCTTTCAGCAAACCAAGCCCGAATTTCCTTTCCTAAATCGAGGACAACCCAGTCATCCATGGATGACCAATCCCGAGCTTGATTACGGCTTGGTATTTGACGATCAAGGCTTAGTCGATATTCACCAGTCTCTCTTCTTCGACATCGACTTCGAGATTGACCACACTATCAAAGAATATGTTGATCAGATTAGCTTCTCTATTGCAACCACCATTGACCATCGTAGATCTCCTGTCCAGTGGCAACTCACCTACATCCCACCCACTACTTTTTTTCCGGGTAACTTTCCATTGCTCAAAACCTTAAACGTTTACATCTGCTTAATGGCATTGTTAATATCGTATCAAGTTTTCTTTCACTAAAACTATTTGAAGCATGTGAGAGAGAGAACTTCACTGTGATTGTTCTAATTGTTAATTATGAGATTTGTGTGACTTGTGGATAAGTACATATTATCTTGGTTATTATCTTACCATTCCCCGTCAATACTTGTAATTATTTGCTATTACTTTATCAACAATTGAGAAGTCACTTAAATCAGCCCTTGATCACCATTAATATATATAATTGCTAAGCTTGTCAATTCAATATTATTCCTAAGCAATTCCTAAATCTAGCATTTGTTTTACGACAAGAGCACAATAACAAAGACAATGGGAAAAAACTAAAGAATCATCTAAGGAAGGATCATCTTTCTCTAAAAGAAAGAATGAGAAGAAGACTGGTGATAGTCCTTCCTCTTGTAAAACCAGTACCACTAGTATGTTTTGTAACCACTATTAGATGCCTAGCCAACAAGAGAGAGAGAGAGAGAGAGAGAGAGAGAAGACTGAAATCTTCCCTAAAAAGTGCAACAAGGATGGAAAAGAAAAAAACAACTGCTCCTACAATGAAGAATATGATGCGGAGTTTGCGGATAACAAGATGAGCCCATCTCTATCTTTGATTGAAATGCTGCTACTTGGCCATGGAAAATATGCTTGACCATAAAAGGTGTAAGGCAAAACGTTCTAACTTTCAGAGATGCCCTACATTTGAAAATTGACGTACTGCAGGAAGTGAAAATACCTAACAAGTATGACCTTTCTAGAGGGTAACCTTTAACCTCAAAATAAAATGCTAAAGGGTGCATAAAGAGCAAATTTTGCCTATATAGTGCAAATGCGAAAAAATGATCCGTTCTCTGCTCCATAAAACATAATGAATAGCCAATCTCTTTCGCCAAATCACAACAATTCATGTTTACAACCACATGCATACAAAGACATGATATCACAACATTGATTATGTAACTTAAGAAACATGTGATATTTATTAGCACAACATGCCAACCAAACAAGGATGAAAAGCAAACAAGTATCAAACTCAGAAAATGAAATAAAAACCATTGCTTAGGCCTTAGACAACTTCCAATCATATTAAGGTACAACTAAATACTGAGTAATACCTGATTCATTGCCAATCCTCTTAGCATGTTCAGAAAATCATCATGCCTATCTTTATCAAATCTCTCAAGATCGTATCTGTTGTTCTCCTGCAATCACGCTAAAGTAATTGAGAATTTTTCATACTAATATGGATAATACATTGCTGAGAAATTTTATCCTACGATTCTGTTGAGTGACAAAGCACAAAGTACACAATTTGAGGGAAAAAACAATACTAAATGAATATCAAAATTTATCAAATACTTATATGCTTAAAAGCTGCATGTGGATCTCCTAATAGTTGAAAATTTCCATAAACCCCTGAAACTTATGCATATATAAAATAAGAAATAATAGAGAATGAACACTACAGAAAAATCACCTATTACCGATGATATTTCCCGATGGAAATTGATCATTTTCCGGCAGGTTTGGAATTTACTGGTGGTAAATTTTCCGCCGGTAAAAACAGCATGGAAAAAATATTTCCGGCGGTCTTTTTTGGAGGAAAATATTTACGGCGATTTTCCGGTGGAATAAGGCCGCCGGAGAATAAAAAAATTAATTAAAAAATAAAGCTGCTTGCCCGCCCAGCCATGTGCAGCTAGCCCACCGCTATGCATTTCCTTTATCAAGTACTCTCTCCATGATGAATCTGGTATGCAAAGCAGAGTTCCTTTAAATAGGAAATTATGTCTGATGGAAAAATCTTTAAAGTGAACATGAGGAGATTGAGACAGTAGAAGCCATCGCTGGGAGAAATCCTTGTCTGTTGGATATAATTCTTGCAGAGATGCAATGCCGTGGATATCCATTTGAAGTTGAGTGACTAGCGCTGTTCGACGGCTAAGGGCATCGACAACACGATTTTGAGCTCCGGACTTATGCTTTAAGACAAAACCGAATTTCTGTAAGAAGGATACCCACCTCGCATGCATTTTATTTATAGTTTTCTGGCTATTAATGTACTTGAGGGCTTGATTGTTGCTGCTCAGAACAAAGTCTTGATGCAGAAGGTAATGCTCCCATTGCTTTAGCGCCCGGACTACAACGTATAGTTCTTGCTCGTATGCGGATCAGATCTGGCGAGCGGGACTCAATTGCTCACTGAAGAACTCAATAGGTCGGCCCTCTTGTGACAAAACAGCTCCGATTCCAATGGCAGAAGCATCAGTGCCTACGTGGAATAATTTGTGGAAGTCTGGTACTGCTAGAACAGGTGCGGAACTCAGTGCCACTTTGATCGTGTTGAAACTATGTTCCTGAGCCAATGTCCATTGAAATGATTTTTTTTAGGCAGTCCGTGATCGGTGCAACAATAATAATGAATCCCCGAATGAATCGTGTTATGCAGCCGGCCCAGGAGGGGCCGACTGGACCGGTCCAGCCTGGACCGGTCCTCGTTTACTCCCGCAAGCCCAAGCTGGGCGGAGAACAAAGGGGGGCGGCAGCCCTTGTGGGCCCAAACATTAATTGTATTAAACTTTGGGAGGGAAATTTTGAACTAAGGGGCTGTTTAGGGATTTTTAATTATTCCTTTTGCTTTAATTAGGGAGAAGGGTGTGAGGAGGGAGGCATCTTGAATTTGAATCTTATTTGAGATCTAGGGTTTGTTCTTGGACTCTTGGCGTTGCCGGAGATTGTGGAGAGTATTTCCTTCCTCTCGAATTGAAGGAAAATTGTATCTTGCAAGTGCTTTTCATCTACTAGTGGAATACAAGTGTTTGCTTTGATTTCCTACGAATTTCTCTTAAATTTCTCTCAGATTTTCCACTGCTTGTACTGTTTTCTCTCTACGAACAGCAGTTTTTCCTCTTTGTTTGTACTAATTTTGGGTAGGTTTACTTGCGAACTCAAGTATTTCCTATCAAATCGCCGATAGAAATTTGCCAACCCAATGAAGTTACAAATTTCGAATACGGACCGTGGTGTGGGCCAATTAGTAATGGCAATAACCTTCTGAGGATCTATGTGAACGCCTTCATGAGAAACTATGTATCCGAGAAAATGAACTGCAACTGTGGCGTTCATATTTAGGGAGATTAAGGTATAACTTATGCAATCTCAAAATTTCCAAAATAGAATTGAGGTGTTCAAGATGATTTTGCATTGTAGAGCTAAATACAAGTATGTCATCAAAATAAACAACACAACATTTATCCAAAACCGGCTTGAGGATTTCGTTCATAAGCCTCATGAATGTGGCTGGGGCGTTGCAAAGGCCAAACGGCATCACTTTCCATTCATATAACCCGTCATGGGTTTTAAATGTTGTATTTCACTTGTCCTCATGGCCTGATACGAATTTGATGGTACCCGCTCCTTAAATCAAGTTTGGAGAATATAATGGCACCCGCAAGTTTGTCCAACATGCCTTCAAGAAGTGGTACCGGGAAGCGATACTTAACTGTTATTTTGTTGATGACTCGGCTGTTGACGCACATATGTCATGTCCCATCTTTTTTTGGCACAAGGAGAGCGGGGACGGCGCAAGGGCTTAAGCTCGGTTGGATTAATTTCTTTTGGAGCAGTTCATCAACAATCTCTTGCAAGGCGGAGTGTTCCTGTGGGCTCATTTTGTAATGTAGCAAGTTCGGCAAAGAGGCTCCCGGTTGAAAATCTATTTGGTGTTGTAGACTTCGCAAGGGAGGTAGACTACTTGGTAGTTTGTTGGGCCAAACATCCGAAAAAACGATGGAGAATGTCATGGACAGCAGGGGGAATTTCAGAGAACTGAACATTTTGATTGGGCAGAGTAGTGACTAATGCATACATAGTTGCGGGCTCTTGCCAAGAGTGAATGATTTGCTGTCCCAACACAATATACATGGCTGCTTTATCGGGGGTATCCCTGTTGGGTGAGTTGTTGGAATGAGGCAGCAGCCAAATTCGGCGATTCTTCCATTCAAAAGTATATGTATTGTTACGGTCGTCATAGAGAGTGTTAACATCGAATTGTCATGGGCGCCCAAGTATTATGTGACAGATGTCCATTTCAAGGACGTCACAAAGGACTTCGCAGACATAATTCTTTCTGATCGAGAAAGACACCCGACACATCTCCGATACTACGATCTCAATGCCCTTCTTCACCCAACTAATTTTATAGGGATGAGCGTTTTTAGTTGTTTTCAGCTTGAGTTTATGCACCACAGATTTAGAAATGATATTCTACGTACACCCGCTATTTATGAGCATCTCACAAACACTCTCATTTATAGTGCAGCGGGTATGAAAAATGGTATGTCGTTGAGTGTTACTACTTTGGCGAGGTGCTAACAAAAGTCTCTCCATAATGCATACTATAGGTTCTCCATCATCGACTTGAAGGTCTTCGAAATCTTGCTCGTTAACAACTTCCGTTGCTTATGGCTCGCCATCTAGTAATTAGACCTGCTGCCGATTTGACAATCATTTGATTTATGCCCTGGCTGAAAGCAGCGGTAGCATTTGAGTGTAGTAGGCTTAGCGTATGGGTTGTTCTCCTTAGCCGAAAACTTATGTCGGTATCCAGATTTTGGCGCGGATCCAAGTACGCCTGCGCCCCCATGTTGGAGCGTCATCGATTTTGATCCGCTGACACTTCATTGCTTAGTGGCTTCCAGCACGGGCTCGGAGGATGTCCCAGAAGGTGACGATTAATTTGAATCTCAACTTTAAGGGCATAGTTCACGGCTTGCGACAATGTCCAAACCAAATTCAGCTCCAATTTATCTTGAATGACTTCTTTCAGACCACCGATATAACGTGCTACCAATTGGCTTTCGGATTCACTTAGGTTGTTCTGAGCACTCAGTCTGTAAAATTCCTATGTGTACTCATTTACTGTTCTATTGCCTTGGGAGCAATGTTGGTACTGAAGATAGAGCATCTGCTCAAAATCAGTAGGTAAAAAATGCCCTCGCAGCAAACGTTTCATCCGAAACCAGCTCGTGATGTTACTCCTCCCTTCTCACCTTCGGGACTGCAATAGTTGCATCCACCAAGCTCCCGCTCCGCCCTTTAGGCGACAGGCGACGTATTTTACTTGCTTCTAGGGTGCAATCTCCATGTAGTCAAAAAATGTCTCAACAGCTCGTTCCCAATCCATATATTCTTCTATGTTCAATCTGCCATAAAAAAAGGAATATCCAAGTTTATCTTGAATTCTCCTTTCTGGCGGTGAATGAAGTGCTCTCGCCGCGGCCGATCATAGTAATCAAGTGCTGTGTACAAGTTCCGGCCGGAAAGATTTGGGTGTCCCTCATCTGCGGAGTCCAACGCTTCAATCTGTTGCTGTAAATCTATTCCATCCTCAGAATCGGAAGCATTTGGAATCGTTGGTGGTGGTTTCCGGGCGTAATGTAGCCAACGTGCCAGTATGGTTGTTGGCGTCATCGACCGGCCAGTCGCTTGGGTTGGCTGATTCGTTCACAACGGACGAATTTCTGTGTTCATTTCTGCAGAAAATCGAAAGAACTCAGCAGTGAGCACTTCCATATGTTGTGCGATACTCGACTGAGCAGTCCACGGGGCTTCCAAACTCCGATCGTCGTCAAGAGTGGAGCGTTTGCTACCTTCCTCCATTGAAGCTCTGATACCAATGTGGCGTGGAACCGCAAATCACCTTTAGCACAAGAAGAAGAAGAGGGAACCGAAAGAGAGAAACAGAGGAAGAAGAAAACCTTTTCTAGGTATTAGTATATTTCATTCTACCTGGCCTCATACATTTTGCTTACTATAAGTATGTAAACCTATAAAACGGTGAAAGGTTGTAAAAGCGGTCCTAAGAGAAAATGGAAAACATTCTACTGGAGCCACTATGGCACCTGCAGCAAAACAGAGAAGTTGTAAATAATAACTAAATGGTAGTGGAGGCCAAAAGCATAGATGTAGTGATCTGTCGGACCAAGATAACCCACATCACACTATAATATGGATACAACTTCTACAAATAGTTTGTATGATTTAGGCTTAGCATTTCATGTCACACTCAAAAGGAATGCATGAAGGAGAATTCATCAACCAGACCCTAAATGGTCAAGATATCTCTAATAAGATGATGATTCATGTATAATACTTAATCACAACCTGCTAAATCAATTTAGCTAATATATGAAAATATTTGTGCAAGAGACTGCAGAGCAAGTAATTTGGTGCAATTTTTTTATGCCGATCATTTAGTTTAGCGAGTAAATAAGAAGGCGCGTTACCTTTATCTTTTCATACTCTCTAGTTGCACAACTTTTAGCATCTTCTGTGATTCTCATCGTCCTTCTTATTTCCTCTAATCTCTGGATTCTAGAATCATAACCGGAAAAAAACCTAGCAGAAGCAGCTTCAAGCTTTTCAGCCCTAGCATGCCAGGAAGCAAGATCTGATATAAGTGTTTGCACAGTCAATAAGGCACCGGAACGCTCCGAGAATGCATTCCTAATGCTCAGCATTAGCCCTGTGTACTCCTGCAGAGTCTCCTGCTACAAACATGAGCAAAAAATCACTTGACAAGTAAGGCTCATCTAAAATTTTCAATCTAAAAAATTGTGTTTTCATCATGAAATTGGACATGCATGGATACCAGATGTCTGATTGTTTGAGCATTTAGTTCACGGTAAAACCTGCTTGCTTTAACAGCTGCAGTTGCTACGACTTTGGCATCAACAGCCCATGATCTCTCTGGCATATCAATGATCTCATTGTTTTCCAGCTTTACTAGTTTGACGAATGACAAACCCAACTCTCCCATTGTTTCTGCAATATCTTGTTGTGCTTTTACCAATGCTTCAGCCTAAACCAAAGTAAAATATACAAGTTAACACTTCGTCTTAATCCAAAGCAAAGCATACAAGTCACCACAACCAACCATGACAACATAAAGTGGACAATAGTATAAATCACACCAATTAAATGTTATGGGGCATTGAAATAAATAACCATACATATTTTTTAAGTTGTTCATCTAAAATATAATTCTACATCTTTCAATAGGTGGCATCCAAGACTTTGCATGTGCTTTAACTTTTATTTTTATAAACAACCGTACATATTTTTTAAGTAGCTCCAATGCAATCAAATAAAAAATGAGACTCAATCCTCTCATAGGTACCCCCACCCACTTTCCACCCCACCCCACTCCAAAGGAGAGAAACAGGGAAAAATTACACTAGAAGATAGCAGAAGTGAACAACAAGAAGTGAAAATAAGAATTTCACATCACAGTAGTCTTGGGAAAATTACAGGAAGGGTTCCCAAACAATTAAAAAAGCCAAATCGCAATGATAAACTGGTGCACAAAGAGCTGAAGAAGAAAACTTGCTGAGCATATATATCATCCAATTATTCAATTAATAGCATTTCTCAATAGAGCACTATCAGAAAGGCGGACAAAGACTAAAGAACACAAAATGCTCCGAACTTCACCAACCACTATAACAGGTAGACCTCAGGTAAATAAACCAAAAAATGAATGTCTTACAACTGTTCAAACAATTCTCTGCTTTTTACTAATTACTCTACCTTGTGAAACAGAAATCAGGTAAATTCCTTCTGATCGTGCGCTGGTATGTGCAACACAAATATTCCATAAACTTTATAGTGCAAGGCTCTTTAAGCTCTTTAGATTTGAGATTTAGTCTTACATTGCAGCATCAGCTCACTCGTAAAAACTATGGTATCAATTTAGCTTTCTTTCAAAGAGTTCATCACCATCACCATCAATAATCTTATGCAACGAATTGGCATTGGCTTTATAAATTTTCATCCTACATTCATTCCAAGATCTATTCACATCAACTCTTTTTTTCTCTGTAACCCTTTGAATTCGATTTTATTTCTATGTTCGTTCAGCACAGATTCTACTTTTCCTCGAACATGGCCAAGCAAACAAAGCCTAATTTGCACAACCATAACTTAGAAGCTACTTACAATATCCCTATAATTTAATCATTTCAACTCCATGATTTCTCATTTTGGAACAAATATGTCTTACATCCTCACTCCTTAGTAGTTCTACCAACCTCATCTTGACCAACTTTTAGTATAGTCAGCTTAGGTGGAGAACACTAGGGCAGTAAGGAATTTTTTTTTAATTTCATAAATTACTTGATACAAAACAAAATACAAATGAATCTATGAATAAAAAATAAACTATTTATAACTTTATAAACAAATATAGATTTAAAAAAAAAGTTCTGAATTTTGTTCATTGGGGCATAAATTCTAGTGATCATGACTTCCTTAACATGAATCTTTAGGATCCTAAATTTTTGGTATTAATTAGTAGGTTTCAACAATAAGATCTATAGCATATGCATCCTTAAAATAAACTCCCTCAACTTTGTGAATAGATATCTTCTATTCCCAGCTTGCCACTAATCTCCAAAAACGGTGCCTTGTAACCTTGTGAAGGCATTTGTTAGCTAATCCCTTGTAGATATATATGATATACAAATTAAACCACGGTCTAATTTTTCTTTCATGTAATATTTATCTGTCTCAATATGCTTCATTTTTGTAGAGAATTATATGTGATATTTTTTGCTAACTTATTATCACAATAGTCTCATAAGTCTATCTCCATATAACTTCAGATCTTTAAGAAAAATTTTTAACCACAATATTAATGTAGGATCTTGATAGGAAATACATGTATGCACAAGTAAACCTAACCCAAATCAAGTATCAAAACAAGGACAACTGCTGTCCACAGCAGAAAACAGCCCAAAACAGTGAGAAATCTGAGAGAAATTTAAGAGAAATCCGTAGGAAATCAAAGCAAACACTTATATTCCAATAGTAGATGAAAAGCACTTGCAAGATACAATTTTCCTTCAATTCTTCAATTCGAGAGGAATGAAATACTCTCTACAATCTCCGGCAACGCCAAGAGCCCAAGACAAACCCTAGATCTCAAATAAGATTCAAATTCAGATAATCCCCTCATCCCTCCTATTCCTCCTAATTAACATGAAAGGATAATTAACACTTACCAAAACTACCCTTACATTCAAAATCCCCCCCCCCACCCAATTTGCATCAAGCCAAGCTATGGGCCCACCTCAATGTTCCCCCCCCCTGCTTGCTCTGTTTGTTCCACCTGCAGTAGACCTGGACCGGTCCAGCCGGCCCAGGATGGGCCGACTGCGTAACAGATCTTTAGGGTGAAGGTAATAACTTGATTCATGACCTCTTAGGTGGTGATGAAAAGGTTATATAGGCAATGGGAAAATAGGCACTAAAGTTTTAGATAACTTTGGAGCTAGAGTCCATTGGCTATGAAAGGATATGTTTTCTTTGAATGCAAAGGATGAAGAACTCAAGATCAAAGGTCTAACAAGTCAAGAAACTAACGAAAGTATTTATATGGATTTTGTATGAGTGGTTAGGAGTTATTATTATTATTTTTTATTGCTCATAGCAAAAAATTGTCTCTTTGTATTGGGATTTTGTCTTAGGTATTTGCAGGGTAATTAGGGAGACATTAGGAAGTTAACTGAATTTATGGGGATGTAGTGGGAAGGTTTGGAGGTGTTTAAGGGGTTAAGAGGTCATAGGAGGCTAGGGTTTAAGTGTTGGTCGAGCCTAGCTAGTGAGAGGAGTTGCATTAAGAGGAATAGGAGGAGATAAAGGAGATAATTGTTGATGCATCGAAGCCCTAAAGGATTAGCCATCAAGTTTCACCAAAAAGTAGAGCAACCAGCAAGCTCTTGACACAAAATATGCATACATACAAGATAATTAAGTTAAATAATATATCAAACAAAGTTCTATGGCTGGTATTTATATACACTTGGAGATCCAATCCTATGATGATTGATTTCCACTTGATTTGGAATTAATTAAGGCCACTTATAACACATCCCATGGATTGATAACAAGGCTAATCATGCAAGGAGGTAAAATAATAAAAAAAAAAAGATGCAAAAAAATTAAATTAGCCAAGCTAAAAATGAAGGAGAGTGGTTTAATCTTTAATTATCCTTAATCCTTGATTGAGTGCTCAACTTTTGAACTTTTGGAGGGAATTTTAAAAGATTTTCCATCATATTTAAACAAGAGAGGGATGTTTGTATCTTGTATGAAAAGTCAAGTGGCCTTCAAATTAAGCATGTGTATGATTTCTTCATAAAAAAAAAAAGAAAAAAAAATGTGTATGATTTCTTCATAGAGGAGCCACCCTCTTGCCTGATTGCCTTGAGATTTGTGCTGTTATTTTTGCTTAATATCTTGATTCCATGCTCTTATTTGAACCCTAGTCATGTATTGTGTTGCATTAGTAATTCACACATCTCTTATGCCACTACTTCGAATTCAACTTATGCACTAGACCATACTATTATATTTTAAATTTTGTTTCTCCATGTGACAAGATTTCTGATGCGGGACGCCGCCGAACGACAGAGGGAGGGTCGGCGACCCCGGTGAGCTCGGAAGCGGCCGGAAAGGCGGGCCGCGTCGGCCGATCCGCCGAAGGATCGCGCGGAGGGACGCGGTCGCGGAGCGTGACGCAGAGAGGGGCGGGGGCTTTGGCTTGAGAGGAACCGGTCCATTTCTGGACCGGTTTGGCTCGGGTCAGCCCTGAGCTGGGCGGTTCAGTTTGGGCAGCCCACTAGTGGGTTTGGTTTGGTCTTTTGCTTGCTATAAGTAGGGATTAAGGGGGGATTTCTAGGGTTATGCAAGATTTGAGTTTTCTCTTAGCCTCCTTAGTTTCTTTCTCTTGTTTTTTCTAGGGTTTGTAGTGGGAGACCTTGTCCTTCTCGAAGTGGACAAATTGTATCTTGTTTCTCTTGGATTTTGAATGCAAATGTTCTGGTTCTTCCTCTCATCCCTCTTGTGTTGATTTTTTCTTGGATTTGGAGGAGAATTTTCATCTTGGAGGAAAATTAGGGCAAACCCTAATTTGTGAAATCTAAGGCGTATCAATTTCATACCAAAAAAAAAACAGCAACCAAAGGTGTATCCCTTGTCTATAGGTGAACCTATATAGTCAGCATCTATGTAGGCTTCATGTTTCAACTTTGTGTTTCTTATAAATTGAATTTTCCTTTCAGAATTGGCTTTTAAGAAATGAAGAGTTGTAGGTGAACCTCCATTGAATCATATATGAACAGTCATACGGTCATACCACACGCATAACATAAGTTATATCTAGCCTCATATATGTAATATAAATAAACTTTCTCACAAATCTTTACTATTTTCCCTCGTTATTGTAGTTTTTTTTCCTCCTATTATATGCTTTAGGTCAATTGGTGTATAATTAGGTATACAAGTCATCTTCCTTATTTCCTTTAATAAATCATCATAATTTTATTGTAAAATGAAGAAATAAAAATAAAATATTTGAGGAATGAGATATTGAGTACGGGCAAATGATTTGGGGCTTTGGAGAGCAAATAAGAAATTTAATTTTTATTTTTTTAATAAATAAAAAATTGAAGTACAAGAAATTATATTTATAAGATATTTAAGACATGTATGTTAGACACTTGTGTCTAATTTATTTTTAATATTTTTTGTAATTGGACACGTATTCGGCTTGTCTCACACGTATCAGAGGCGTATCAAACACATGTCATATCTGATACATGTCAAAAACTGCATACCTTTTTGATGAGAAGTGTCGGCGCATCATACTAAATGCCTCATATATTTGTTCCTTAATTTTGAGCATCTCAATTAGTTTTAAATATCAGTACCAAAATATTGCTTCTTTAATCGTTTGGCATCTTTTTAGTTCTTAAATATTAATGAAAATATTTGTTAATCAAAATATTGCAAGATCACCCATAAATCACAATAATTATCTCATTTAGACCTATAATTCTACTTTCATACATTTTTTAGTGTTAATTCCAATTCTTTTTTTGGATTAATTTATAATTTTTCTTATTATTTTCTTCATTATGCTCTAACAAAATTTACTTACACTACTATTTTATAATTTCCCAAAACATTTTCAGTTTTTACAGATGTCACCAGCTTTTAACTATAAGCTTTATTATTTTTGCTTATAAGATGTCAAACCTGATGAATGTCTATAAATATTTTATAATTTCTCAAAACATTTTTAGCTTTTCTTGATGTTTCCATCTTTAATTATAAGCTTTATTATATTCATTTACAATATATTGAACCAGATCAAACTATCTAAGTACCTTATATCTTTTCTTGGTTATTTTATATACCTCAATTTACTTTAGTACCTGGCTTATATATAAATTACCAAAATTAGAACCATTTTCTTTCCTCAATATCCTCTTCACAAAAATTTAACATTCTTTTATAAGTCTCAATAATATTCATCTTATGGAACTCATCAAAAGCACCTTATTTATCTTAATAAAATTTTTATCTCCTCACAACCACTATCTCCTTATTAATATAGGGTATATTTCCAAGCTCTTGTAAACTTTAATGAAACCTTCTTGATGAAAAAGATTCCTAAATGCACCCAATATTCAAAACAATTTTTATATGATAAATTGGAACCTTGCACCTCTCAGTGTTAAAGATAACTAATGTCATCTATAAGTATAGCAATTTTAACATGGTACTTTTTTTGGTATCTCCTCACCATGTCAAGTTATCCTTATTAATTTAAGATATATTTCAAAGATCTCATAAATTTCTATGAAAATATTCTTAATGAGAAATATTCTTAATTTGACAAAATCTAAGTTAAGTGTTGAAGAGATGAGGATGCTTACGTGGATGAGTGGCTTTACCCTTAGAGATATGATAGGAAATGAGCATATACGTGAAATGGCTGGAGTAGCTCCAGTGGAAGATAAGATTAGAGAGAGTCGCCTTAGATGGTTTGGTCATAGTAAATGGAGGCCTTCCGATGACCCGGTTAGAAAAGTTGAGGTATTAGATTTGACTTATGTTAAGAAAGGTAGAGGTTGATCTAAAAAGACTTGGTTAGAAAATATTAAAAATCATCTTTCTTTATTAGATTTAAATGAGAATTTAAATTTTAACAAAACACAATGGCTAAAAAGAATTCATGTAGCCGACCCTTGATGTTGTTGTTGAACAAAATCTGCAAAATGATTTTTAATATTATAAATTGCAACCTTGCGCTTCTCAGTGTAAGATAAAACTAGTTTCATCTATAGTTGTAGCAATCAATATCGAACAAGTGCAACTAATTAGTCCGATCAAATCCTCATCTTCCACAGACCATGCAACTGTCATTGATTAAACTATAAACAAACTTCAGGTGAATTCTATCTACCTTATCCGATGAAGCATTGAGCTGCAGTGCAAAGTCTTGTATCTTCCCCTTCCACTCCAGAAACGCTTTATCCTCCTCCACCACCAATGGTTTCGCCCCAACCAAATCGTTCCTAACCGATTGCCTCAATTCCTTAAACATCCTCGCTAGATACCTTCCTCCCCTAGCTGGTAGCACCGATTCTTGCGGGGCCACCCACCCATTCGATCCATCGCCAAACAACTGTTTTGGAAGCCGCAGAGCGCCGTCCAATATCCTTGACGCCATATCCGTCGTCAAAGCTAGCGGCAGGTTTCCCGGCTCCAGGAGGAAAACTCTAAGCTCCTCACTTCGCCCAATCACTGGATGCGCTGCAAGCCGTTGCAGGTACTTCTCCAGAGCCGCCCGGCGGTGCTCGACGAACTCGTGTTTATGCATTACACGACTCTCGACCACGCTCTTTTCGGGGCGGAGCGGAATGAAGAAACCGCGGTGGGATTCTGCGATGTGATCTGCTAGGGTAACCACATCGCGGAAGCGGCGGCGGACGCTGAATCCGGGGCCACCGGAGCAAGTGCGAGTCGTAATCAAGTAGGAAATAAAGGAGCCGCCGCCAGGGACAGGCGAGTTGGCTGCAGCGTTCTCCTTCTGAGGATCGGAGACTGTGATCTCGAAGTTGGAGGCGCGACCGGATCTGGAGGGGAGATTTTGACCAATTTGAGGCTCGAGGAGGTGAAAGAAGGCCTTGGCGTCAGAGCAGGAATCAACGATGACGGCGCTGCGGTGTATGGACGACGAGGAGGGGGATGATGAGTTGTTGGAAGATGATGATGGAGAAAGAGGAAGGGATTCCATGGCTTCCGTAAGCGGTGGGGAAGCGAAGGATGGTTGGGGCCCCGGTCCCATCATCGCCAGGGCAGGCGACGAATTCAGAGATCTGGGAGAGACGGGAAGTGGGTGAGGGGGCCAAGCCCTGTTGTGAGTCGCGACGAAGACGAATGATTGCCAAATGGTGAGAAAGTCTAGCTCTAGCCGAGAAAGTCCATATTAAGGAAAAATCCGAAAAAGACTGCGAGGCCATGGCTGCAAACGAACCAAGCATATCCAAGAATTTGAGCATCTTCGAGCTCAAGCTCATCTGTCAGGATCTCGTTCGATCTCGGCTCTTTTAGATAAATTCTGCTCGAGTTTGTTTATTTAAGCTGATCGAGCCAGCTCGTTTACCGCCGCTGACCTGAAGGCAGAACTACAAAGCAGTGGAACAGGAATTTGCACAGTAAAAAGGAATTGATACTTTCTTCTATCTTTCTTTTTGGAATAACAGAAAATACTATAACTAATAATTTTTGGAAATGATAAAAGGTAGTACGTATAGCATAAGAAATAGAATAATAAACGGTTAATAGTGGCAGCATAACGTGGCACATGGTGAGTAGTTCGTAGGTAGCATGTAGTCCACATCAGGTCTCAGGTCTCCTCTGCTTCAGAAGAGCTCATCTCTGATGAGATGGTTGTGGCATCTGCACCGTTTGGTGGATGGTAGGGGTACATATCGGCAACATTAAAGGTGGAAGATGTTGTAATGTATTTTGGTAAATCAATGACATAAGCATTATCATTAATTTTACGCAATATGGGAAAGGGGCCAAGTTTCTTTGGGTTGAGTTTCGGGCAAGGTCCTGAAGGGAATCGGTCCTTGCGGTATCTCAACATGACTAGCTCTCCAGGTATGCTTATCTTGGTCTACCTTGTACTTTTTGTTGTTGTCTATCAATTTTTCTTGGACCTCTTTAAGGATACTAGAGAATTGTTCTGCTATTTGAACCGCAGCTGTGCTTCGACACTTTGGAATGACGGCTAGGTCAACAATGTGATTTGGCATTTTTGTATATACAATACTGAAGGGATATTAACTTGTAGATCGGTTCGACATATAATTAAAAACAAATTCTGGTTGTCCAAGAACATTTTCCCATTTTTTTGGATTATTTTGATCCAACACCTTAACATGCTAGCAAGGGGTCAGTTAACGACTTATGTCTGATCGTTCGTTTGGGGATGATATGTCGAACTTAACTTCAAATCAATTTGAAATGTCTTCCATAATTTGCGCCAAAAAAGGCTAATAAACTTAATGTCCAGATAGGATGTGAGGTGTCACAACCCAACCCGAGCAGGACATGTCCTATCGTGTTGAGTTGTGACAGGCAAATCTCAAGATCTAGTTTTCGAATTATTTTAAAATTTCTGTCAAAATTCATTGAAATAAACTACAGACTACATAGCTACTAAAAAATCAAAATACTAAAATAAACTCATCCACCAAGCTTCGTTTATTTCATCAAAATAAATATCGACACTATAGTATATGGCTACAGGCAAGAGTTACAGAACTGAAAATTTAACTAGTCATGATTGTACAAAAATGCATTTTTTCAAAAAAATAACGAAATTACTAGGGATTGTGTAACACGATGTTTTAGGACTTCTATTATACTGCACTATTTTTTTAACATCCAAATAATTTTCTATTCAATAAAAACCCCACAAATTTCAAAACCCCCGTTATAAAATTTTTAGAAAATATTCAAAATGTGCATAATCATAATCTCTATAACATATAAAAAGTTACGGTGTGAAAGTTTTACCTGTGTAAAGTTATCCTCATTTTTCACCAATGGATACAAAATTTTGATCAAAATATTCACTAAAACTTGCACATTTTTGAAAATTGAGATGGTCATAATGTGTCTTATCTCGAGATGAATAAATTTTTCAATTGGGCCGACAAACGAAAACGACTCGAAGTCACCCAAAATCTGAATTTCCTCCTCTCTCTCCTCTATTTCTCTTAATTTTTTTCCTTTCTATGATAGCCATGAGTTACTTTAGGGAAAAAATAATACATTTAAAAAGATGATAATGCTTTTAGATATTTTTTATTTTTAATTATTAAATAATATATTATTATTATTATTATTATTATTATTATTATTATTATTATTCAATAGAAAATTCATGAAAATTCATAAAAATTCTTTTAGGGATTCCAAAAATGATACAAAAATATTCAATTTGCAAAACAGATATCACCCCACTTGTACCAAGAGGTGCTGATTTCTTAAGAAATTTCGACTGTGTCCAAAAATTATGAAAAAATTAGGAAAACTAAAACACAACATTATAAATGTTTTGGCGAAGATGGTTTATGATTGTATTTATTATGACTCTTAAAATAAATATTGACCATTTTAGATAAAAAAAAATCTTAATAGAAAATTTAGGGGTTTCACATGAGACTTCGAGGTAGTCCATGTAAGCGGATAATTTCTTTAAAGAAAAGCTTCACAATGTGAAGGACGTCAAAAGTTTTCTTGCAGGGAATAAAATTTGTCATCTTTGAAAATCTGTTAACTACCACTATTATGGAGTTTGATCCTCTTTTGGTTCTCGGCAAGCCTATGACGAAGTCAATACTTAGATCTTTCGAAATTGAATCTGGTACTGGCAATGGTGTGTATAGACCTGAATTCTAAGCCATTCCCTTATATTGTTGGCATACTACACAGCGTTCCACAAATCTTGAAATATCCCTTCTCATGTGCGACCAGAAAAATTGGTATTGGAGTTATTGTAATATGCAATCTCTTCCTACATGTGCAGCCAATCCACCACAATAAATCTCTTTAATGAGTTTTTGCCACCATGAAGATGAGGGAATGCATAAGGAATTACCCTTAAATAGAAATCCATGTCGAATAGAGAAATCTGTTGTCGGGTTTCCAAAACAGCACTCATCCCAAACACTAGCAAATCTGGATCAGTAGTGTACATTGACTACATCTTATGTAAGCGAGTTAGCTTGGTTTGAAGTTGGGAGAGTAATGCAGCACGACGGCTAAGTGCATCAGCCACTCTATTCATTTTGCCAATCTTGTAGCAAACCATGAAGCTAAATTTCTATAAAAATATGACCCATCTCGCATACATTTTGTTAACAGTTTTCTGGCTTTTCAAATATTGCAATGATTGGTGATCACTACACTACACAAAATCTTGATGGATAAGGTAATGTTCCCATTATTTTAAAGCTCGCACAACTGCATAGAGCTCTTGTTCATACACTGTCCATTTTTGGCACAATGGACTCAGCTTTTCGCTAAAGTATTCAATGGGTCGATCATCCTGATAAAGAACAGCCCCAATGCCAACCCTAGATGCATCAGTATCGACTTGAAACGGTTTGTTGAAGGCAAAGCTAAGTCTGGGGCGTGACTAAGAGCAGTCTTAATATTTTCAAAGCTGCTTTGTTGCTGCAGGGACCAAAAGAAGGAAGCACCTTTCAACACATCCGTTATAGGAGTCATTATAACACTGAATCCTCTACTAAAGCGGTGATAAAAGTTAACTAATCCATGAAAGCTTCAGATCTCGGTCAAAGAGTGGGGCATCAACCAGTCTCGAATAGCCTCCGCTTTAAGCACTTCAACCATGAGTCTCATAAAAGTGGATGGGGCATTGCATAGCCCAAAATGCATAACCCTCCATTCATAGAGTCATTCGCGTGTTTTGAATGCAGTCTTCCATTCATCTCTAGGTCAAATGCGAACTTGGTGGTATCCACTACGCAGATTAAGTTTCGAGAACACCACAACACCATTTAATTTGTCCAGCAAATAAATAATTCTTGGAACAAAAAAATGGTGTTTAATTGGTCGTGATTTTGTTGATGGCTTTGTTGTCAATGCACATTCAGCATTGTCCCTCCTTCTTAGGAATAATGAGTGCCGACACTGCACAAGGACCAAGGCTATACTGGATTAGTTGTCTTTGGAGGAGATCGTCAACGATGCCTTACAAAATTACATGTTCTTTGGGACTCATCCAGTAATAATGGGGCATATTAGACAATGTAGCACTTGGAATAAAGTCAATTTGGTGTTGAACTATGCAAAGTGGTGGTAGCTGGGGTGGTAACTCCACGGGCCCGATATCAGCAAGTTTCGACAGGAGTATTTGAATGGGTTCTGGAATGGAAGTGGTTTCCAGGGGGCTTCAAACTATCAGCTGCCACCAGAGCTAAGACAGATACGTCTTGAGTTAAGGCTTGAAATTAAAAATGGTCTGAAACCAAATAAGTTGCGGCTTTGCCTTTGTCATCTTTGCCAATGGCATATGGTGATTAAGGTAACAATCGCAGCTTCTTACCATTCCAGTCAAATGAATGGATATTAGATCTACAGTCATACATGGCATTAGCATCAAATTGCTACTACTGCCCGAGAATAATGTGGCACACATTCAATTCGAGGATGTCGCAACTAAACTCACACACATAGTGCTTCCCAATAGAGAAAGTTATCCAATAGGCCTCTACAATAGTTATCTCCATGCCCCACTTAACCTAGCTGATCTTGTAAGGCTGAGACTTCTTTGTAGTTTTTAATTGCAAAGCCTGTACAATTGAGCGAGAAATAATATTCTCCGTACATCCGCTGTCAATTAATAAGTCACAAACCTTTCCGTTTATTATATACCTGGTTCAAAACATCGCATTTCGCTGTGATGGGAGGGGATGTCTAGGCGCTAATAATAACTTCTCCAAGATGCAGACAACAGGATTGTCCTCATCTCTAGGAACATCTTTGATAATGGCTTCATTGTTGAAAGAATCATCATTACCACTTCCTTCCTCTTGACAATCACCCTCTAGAAGCTAGATTTGTTGTCTATTAGGATACTCGTTTGATTTGTGTCTGTGTTGAAAATATATAAAGCATTTTAAAGAAGTCGGCTTACTGTACGGGTTCTCCTTCATATGGGCCTTTTCTTTGGCTGGAATTTTGGTTTCAAGAAGTGTGTTGCTAGGTGTGGGGTTTGTAGTTTGTTGTACCTTAGCAGTAGGAAGGATATTTCTTGGATACTCCACATGTGCTTCCTGTGAAAATTGTCGCCGAATAGAATAAGTTCGCGAATGCCTTTGTATTTGAGTCTCAACCTTCAAAGCCAAATTAATAGCTTTTGATAGCACCAAATTGAATTCAGCTCTAGCTTGTCTTATATCTAATCTTTGAAACCTCAAATGTACCTTGCTACGAGATGATTCTCAGTCTCATGGAGATTATTACAAGTGCTTAGATGGTAAAATTCTCATGTATACTCATTAATAGTTCTCAATCCCTGAGTGCAATGTTGATATTTGAGGTAGAGTATTTGCTCATAATCAGTAGGTAGGAAATGACCTCTCATCAATTGCTTTATGCGAAACTAGCTGCGCACTGTTCCACGACCTTCACGTCTTCGAGTTTGTAGAAGTTGGAGCCACCATGCACTCGCTCCTCCTTCAAATCGACATGCCACATACTTAACCTGCTTCTCCGGATGAATCTTCATATATTTGAAAAAGGTCTCCCCTACTCCTTCCTAATCCAAATAATCTCCTATGTGGAGATGACCATCAAAGTAAGGAATATCCATTTTCACCTTAAGCTCGCCCTGATCTCTTCGAAGGTGTCCCCTACGATGCCTCGGGGCTTCATAGTAATACAGACGTCGATCCTCCTCTAATTCGAAAGATCAGGCTAAAGCCGAAGGTTAACTTCTCCCTCGTGTGCGCCTCTAGCTGTCTCTCGCTTCCGAAGTTCACAAACATGCTCCCAATTTTTTTTCTTTTATAGAGTAAAAGCCAAACCGCATGCACAGTGTGGGACTAGTGCATGTGGAGAGCGGAGGCTGGCCACGAGAGCGGGATTTTTTTTTCATTTTTTCTGTTACGTGAGCGACAGCGAAGAGCATTTGTTCGCGATTTTAAGCAGGATTAGTAAAAAGTAAATTATTAAATGATTAAATTTAACAATATTCATTTTTTAAAACTCTAATATATTTCTAATTGAGCTTCTTAGTCGAGCTCTAATCGAGCTTCTTGCGGAGCTTGTTCACGAGCGTTA